ATGGATTCGCTATTTGAGAGGTATATATATACAAAAAAATTCAAGATCTTGAAGCAAATTCTGAGAAAATGAGTTGACTCTGTCAAATGAGAGTGTAATTCTTTTAAAGAATATTTTTCTGAGAGGCTAGGAAAAGTGGGGTCTGCAATAGTCAAGTGAACTTTTTTTTATTTAACTAAGATATTTTATATATTTACTAAAAAGTTGTTGCAAATAATATTGTGTTTACTTTTTTATTTAATCACTTTTTAGTATTTCAGAAATAAAGTTGAGAAAGATCAGAAGGATGTGGAAGTGCTTGAGAAGGTTGAGGTATTAACCTCTTTATTTGTGTTATGCATGCACAATAATAATGATATATTTATTCTTTTGTTTAATATTTTTTTTCGTCTAGGCCTTTAATGAAGAATTTGTGTGTTCCAAATGCGTGAAAATGAATGAGAAGACAAAGAAAAGGGTACTCGTTTGGATAAAGCAAAGCACTATATTCAACCTTGGTGGAACATGATCAACCTTGGTCGAACATGGTCACCCTTTGGTAGAATATGGTCAGTCAAACATGATCAACCTTGGTTGAACATGGTCAAATTTAGTAGGAAGTGGTTGTGTCAAACCATTCTTATTTTTAAATGAATGTCTATTTTTTATGCATGACTTTTGTACTGAATCAGTTGACATAAACAAAGGAGCTAAAGAAAATGACGAGGTATAATTCTAGCTAAAATTGGCTAAAACTATTGTAAAAATTCAAAGTGTTTTTGGGTCATATTTTGTTGAATATGTTTCAAGATTTTCAAAATGGTGACAATGGAAACGATGACGTTGCAATAATAACCAATGAGGTAAATAATTATTGGTAGTTATAGTTGGAATAATTTTGTATGTTAATTCTTTATAATATTTTATTTTATTAGAAAATGGGAAGGGGTCACAGAGTAAAAACATCTTCTCAGATATTAAGTTCACCTTGGACAATAGTTACATATAAGCGAAAGTGTGTTAAGCACAAACCAACACTGGATTCAGTACAAAAGTCCTGCATTTAATATCTGAATTTGTTTAACACATCTGATGTTGGACTGTGCTTAACACTCTTTCGCTTATATGTAACTGTTGTCCAAGGTGAACTTAATATTTGAGGAGATTTTTACTCTCTGACCCATTACCATTTTCTAATAAAATAAAAAAGTATAAAGAATTAACATACAAAATCATTCCAACTATAACTACTGATAATTATTTACCTCTTTGGTTACTATTGCAACGTCATCATTTCCATTGTCACAGTCTTGAAAACCCTAAAACATATTAAACAAAATATGACCCAAAAAAGCTTTGAATTGTTACCAAGAGAAATTGATAGTAATAATCCCAACTTTTGGCGGTCCGCTCATAATAATACAAACTATCAATTATTTCAGAATAATCCCAACTTTAGGGACCTGCCAATAATGGTCCCTTATAAATAAATTCATGTAGTTTCTAAAGTAAATGAGAAGAGATATAACAAGTAACCACTATAAATAATCCCAACTTTTAATTTTTACGCTTAATTTCTATTTAAAATTTACTTGTTATAGGAGGTAATATCTGGTCATGGACCATTATTGGCGGACGGTCTATATAGTTGGGATTATACAAAAGTAATCAATAGTTAGGATTATTGTTAACGGACCGACAATAGTTGGGATTATTATTTTCAATGTTTCCTTGTTACAATAATTTTAGCCAATTTTAGCTAGAATCATATCTTGTCATTTTCTTTACAAAAAGTCCTGCATAAAAATAGACATTCATTTAAAAATAAGAATGGTTTGACAACCACTTCCTATCAAATTTGACCATGTTCGACCAAGATTAACCATGTTCGACTGAACATGTTATACCAAAGATTGACCATGTTCGAGCAAGGTTGATCATGTTCCACCAAGGTTGAATAGAGTGGTTCGCTTTGTCCAAATGAGTACTTTTTTTGTGTCTTCTCATTCACTTTCACTCAATTGAAACACACAAATTCTTCATTAAAGACCTAGATGTAAAAAGATAAAAACAAGAATTAAATATGTTGTTATTATCATTGTGCATATATAACACAAATAAAGAGGTTAATACCTCAGCCTTCTCAAGTACTTCAACATCCTTATGCTCTTTCTCAACTTTATTCCCGAAATACTAAAGTGATTAAATAAAAAAGTAAACACAATATTATTTGCAACAACTTTGTAGTAAATACATAAAATATCTTAGTTAAATAAAAAATCGTGTTGCTTACCTCGACAATTGCAAACTCCACTTTTCCTAGCCTCTCAGAAAAAATTTCTTTAAAAGAATTAAACTCTTGTTTGATAGAGTCAACACTTTTCTCAGAATTTGCTTCAAGATCTTGAATTTTTTATCTATATATACAGTGATACGCTCAAATAGCAAATCTATCAAAGCTTTGTCTAGGGAAGGAGGTTGTGTTGGAGGAGGAATATCAGTGGTGCACTGAATTGGGGTAAGTGGACAATAATCTCTTATGTATGCTTCATCTTCCTTACCACTTTGTGATAAAGTTAATTTCCCTTTTTTGATGAAACACATTATTGCTTTGTCTTCTCTGATCTTTTCCTTAAGACAGGAATATGAACCAAGTTCTTCTCTAGTTGAAGAACATAAGCATCAATCTCAATGCTATGGTAGTTCTTCTCTATGGGCTTTAATGATATGATCCATTCAGTCTGAGCCTCTAAAAATCAGGAATAAGAATACTATGCACACTCTGGAGTTAACAAATTATGTAACTTGGAATATGTTTTACTACAGTCGGGTTTGACCATGGTTGACCAAGTTTGGTCACAATTGACAATTGATCAATCCACAGTGATCATTTGTAATTTGACTTACTGAAATGGAGAAATGAACGAAAGTTGTAATAAGACTTACTTACACTTTTACCATCTCCTGGACTCCTAATTGTTTAAGTTTACTTTTGCTTGTAAGCAAAATCTTCAGCAAAGTCCGGCACACACTTCAACAACAAGATCTACAAAGATATATTCAAATAATAATTAATTCAACAAACACTAAAAATAATTTTTTTAATTTAATAGTCATAAATAAAAGTATCTCACCGACATCGGAGTTACGAGATCCGTGTAGCATAATGTTGGAGTCACCTCTTGATGCATAATCTCATCCATCTTCTATTTTAAATTCTTCTTTAACTGTTTAAGAGATTCTAGCTATAAATGTCTATGTACTCCATGGGAAGTCTAAATAGTAGCTACCGACTTGTGCAATGATCTGATCAGGAATGGAATTGTCTCTCTAGACAGCGGCTAAAAGAACCCTCACTTTAAAGACAAGTGATGTCATTCTTATTACTTCATATGGTGCTTCATCTTTATTAGCTCTATCCTGATGATTTAAATTATTACAAAGTTGGTGAAAACGATTTAAAATCGTGTTATAACTAACATTAACTTTACTTCTATCATATCAAGGCTAGTGAGTGTCAATAAAATTTGCTCTATCTTCCTCTTCATAATCATTCTCAAAATTGTCTTTGTCCAGAACAACGCAGTTCAATCCACTAATTAAAGAAAACTTGTTTAGAGAGTAACGAATTGGAACTCACTTCGTCACAAACCACACTTCAGAAGTTCTTTCAATATCTGTTATTCTACCAAGTAAAGTCCACATAAGGATGGGTGCATGAACATATTGTATGTCTAAGTACTTTGGATCTAAACTGATTCAATAGGTCATTATTTGTGCTTGAAACTTCCCTATTGAATTTTTTATTGTAATTTTCATGTTTGGGAAGAGTGTAGTGTCAACCATAGGATAAATGGATGGAACATGAACAAAACAAATTGTGAATAAGTGTTCTAATTATTAATTGTCAAACATGGTCGATCAGAGTCAAACACGGTAGAACGCGGTAGAACAATAGGTCAAACACGATCAAACAAATTCAAAGTAAGAACAAAAAACATGTAATTAGGTTGGCTCTATGGGTAATTGTTTTTTTTTTGTTTGGAGAAAGAGGATTCAACTTCTGAGGATCTTCTACAAGCTTATCTGGTTGAATTTTTTACTCCGTTTTGAGTCCGACTTCTTCAGAAGTTTTTTAACAGGGCTAGTTTTTCCCGATTTTACCAACATACGCTTACGCTTAGGCTTATCTTGTTCAACCATTGAAATGGTAGGGTTATTGACCTTCATGATGGTTGAAGTGGCGCCAAGGTTGCGGCTAGGAGTGAAGAAGGAATGTCATTGGAATGGAGGAAAAGGTTGAAGGGGGAGTGTAGTTGAAGGAGCAATGCCGTTAGGAGTACCGTTCGAAGAGGAGTGCCCTGCGAGGAAGAGAGAATGAAGAAAGTCGTGTCTTTGAACGAAGAGTTCGAAAGGAGTATTCAAGCTCTAGCTTTTAACTCAAACGACCTAATTTTAGTAAAGGTTATTCTGTAATTTCACATGTTTCTACTCTCTATATTTAAAAGTTTACCACACTTTCCTATTTTGGATATATTTAAAAGTTTGTTACACTTTCATTTTCAGGTAAGTTTTTCCTTTAAAAATATCCAATTATCCTTAATTTTTCTACGAGTACTTTTTATCTCCCTTTCCATACTTTTTCAACTTGTATCCTATTTTTATACACTATTTATTATTCTTACTATTTCTCACTTAAATATTGTGTTAGGGGGTGTTTGGAACTGATTCTGCTTCTGCTTCTTTTTTAAAAGCAGAAGCAGAATCAGAATCAGTTTTCAGAAGCTGGTACCCCCCAGCTTCTAAAAAAACTGATTCTGAGAGTAAATTAGAGCTCCAGAAGTGCTTCTGGAATTTTACCCAAACACTCCAGCTTCTGCTTCTGCTCCCTGAAGGAGCAGAATCAGTTTTGAGAATCAGATCCAAACACCCCTTAAGACATAATGTAAAGAGGAAATATCTTTTACATATGGAGGATGTGTTCTTTAAAAAAGAAAAAAGCCCCTGCTACTCATTCACAGTTTCACACTTCAAAATTTGCTGCATTTCGAAGAATAACATATGGGGAAGGAAGAAGGCGAGGCTCCTCCACACACGGAGGCGGGAAGTGAACACTTTTCAACGTCGTCATCACTGTTTCCGGTTTTCCCACAGTTCTCTAATTCTGAAGCCGCCGTTCCTGAATGGCTTTCCAATTCCAGCTTCAAGACCGACCTATCCGTCATAAACGACGCTCTATCGACGCACTACAGTCACGACCAGTCCCAGTACGAAGACAAAGTGCGAGAAGATGAAGAAGAAGAGGAAGGGAAGGAAGTCGACAAGGAAGCGAATACCAAGCGAAAGCAGTACGAGTTGCTGGACTCCGACGCATCTGATTCCGGCAATTTATCGTCTAACCCTTCGGAAGAAGATAGGAAGGGCAGCAGTAGGGATAGGCGGTCGAAAAAGAAGAAGAGAGGAAGAAGAAGTGAGCGTTCTAATGATGGACGTCCGCCGCCTTACAAGAGTGAGCTTTTCTCTTCGCGAAAATCAGATGTGGGAAACTGGGCATCATCTTCTGCTGTTGACACCACGAACGCCAAAGACTATTACTTTGACTCCCGTGGAGATCGTGATAACTTGGCCTTCGGATGCCTATACAAGTAATTGTTTTCACACGATCGTTCACCCATTTAAATTGCGGTAGTTTTGATTATGATATCATTGATATGCGCTTAACATATTTTTCCTGCTCCCTATATAGCAAACTGAAACTCTGATAATATTTGATTAATCAAACTGTTCCAAATTATTGTGGTACATGCTTATTGATCACTGCAAAAAATTGTTCCACTTATATTCCGGTTTTATGGGTTATAGCTGTTTTGTAAGCTTCACATTGTCATTCAAGTGAGCTTCAATTTGTGGTATTGCTTAGGCTTTAACTTTGAAGTAGATTTTCGTTTTCTGTGTTGAGCTAGTGATGGAAGAGATCATCATATGAAGAATTTCTACATGATTTATTTCTACGTGGTCCTTTCATATGTTTTGTAATTGAGTTTAAGGAAACAGTTAATTGAAATTTCAAAACGCCCATTTAGTGTGCATGTGCGTGTATCAAATACTGAATTCATACTGTTTTGTAATTGAAAAATCTCTTTTTGTGCCTTTTATTGCTGGATGCTTGGTTAAAGCAGTTTATTAAATAAAAGTGAGTTATGGGTTATTTTTGTTGCCACATAGTGCCTCTGCTAATTAATTACTTTCTATTTGATATAGCCAAACTACTATCAAAATTAAGTAATTAACACAGGTTTTTTATTTTGTGATAGTGCAGAATGGATGTTCCTCGGTACAAGCTTCATAATTCTAGGAAAATGTTTGAGATTAATTATTACATGAATATTGGCCAGAGCATTCTTTATGCAGACGGTGATGTTGATGCACTGGATAGCAAACTTAGAGCCGAGGGTCGCTACTGGTCTGCAAAGTGTGCCGCAGTAGAGCGTCATAAGAACTTGAAGCGAACTCGAATAATTTCCCGTGCAAGGCCCCAGATACAACACTCATCTGATTTCATCCCTTTGTGCGATGAAGAACCGGGAGGTGAATCCGTTTCAGGGACTTCCGTGCTGGATGAATCATGGGAAGATGAGATGTTACGCAAGACGAAGGAGTTCAATAAGATGACAAGAGATAGACCACATGATGTTAAAGTTTGGTTAGATTTTGCAAATTTTCAGGACAAGGTTGCCAGTATGCAGCAACACAAACTTGCTCGTCTGCAAATACTTGAGAAGAAAATAAGTATTCTTGAGAAGGCTACTGAACTTAATCCAGATAGTGAAGACCTGCTTCTCTCTCTTATGAAGGCTTACCAGAGAAGAGATAGTACAGATGTACTGATTAGTCGGTGGGAAAAGATTCTTCTTCAAAACTCTGATAGTTACCTGTTGTGGAGAGAATTTTTGCGGGTTGTTCAGGGTGAATTTTCTAGATTTAAGGTGTCAGAAATGAGAAAAGTTTATGCAAATGCAATACAAGCTTTATCTGGTGCATGCAGTGCACAGCATAGGCAGGTCTCAACTTTTGACATATTCATTTTTCTGCAGTGTTTGTGATCTTCCTGATCTGAATGTGCATACATTTGAGTTCTTTATGCTTTCAGAGTCACTTTCTTTTTTCATCTTTGAGCTACGCAGTTTTTTTATATGCAGTTAGTCACCTTGTATCTAGTTTCATTAGCTTTTAGTGTTTTATTTTCACTTTGTTTAGTCATTAACACCAATTGTTTATCAATTCAAATAATGGGCTACACAAAGAAACTTACTGTTGACTGAGCAGTTTAAATATTTGGCTTTTTATTTTTAAAAATCTTTAATAGTACTGGCAGGTTCTGAATCTAGAGAAATTCTTTAATTTTCTGTTCTTAATCATGATTTGCATATATTTCACTTTCCTCTGTCGAGATTACATAGTGTTCACCTTTTCTTGTGTTTAATGAGGGTCCTCCTTGTTTCTTTGGTACAGTTTAGTCAAGGTTTTACATCAGCTTCTCTTGATCCAGCTATTGTAAAACTAGAAATTGGTTTAGTTGATATATTTGTGTGTCTTTGCCGGTTTGAGTGGCAAGCAGGGTACAAGGAGTTGGCCACTGCCTTGTTTCAGGCAGAGATTGAATACTCCTTGTTCTCCCCATCTTTACTGATCAGCAAACACAGTAAACAAAGACTTTTTGAACATTTTTGGAGTAGCAATGGTGCTAGAGTTGGTGAAGATAGAGCTCTTGGCTGGTCATCATGGTTAGAGAAGGAAGAAGAACATAGACAAGTGGCAGCAAGGGAGCAATCTTCAAGTGATGTTGACGAAGGTGGCTGGACTGGCTGGTCAGAACCATTATCAAAAATGAAAGAACTTAATGATGTATCAGAAAAGTTGACAGATAGTGATGGAGTTCTCGAGGAGTTAGATGATGGAGCCAATAATGATATAAAAGATGATACCGAGGCTTTGTTGAAAATACTTGGAATTGATACTGCTGCTGCTGAAGCAAGTTTTGAGATCACAGATACGAGGACATGGGCTAGGTGGTCAGAAGAAGAAGTAGAAAGGGATTCAGACCAGTGGATGCCTGTACATGCAAATTGTGGTTAGCATCTCTTCCCTGGTCTCAGGGTGAATTGTCACAGGATTTTCCCATTTGGTTTGTGATACATTTATGTTTTTATTGTCTATTGTCCCAATGTGATAATCAATTAAACATGGATAACTTAGATTTCTAATAGCAAGAAACCATTTCTTGCGGCAGATGATGACCAACTTTTGAGGGTAGTAGCATATGAAGATGTCCGGGACTACTTATTCTCAATATATTCTAAGGAAGCACGCTTGTCTTTGGTATCACAATTTATTGATTTCTATGGTGGGAGAATTGCTCACTGGTATATATTATTACATGCTCCATAAGTCCATATGTTCTATTTCCAAAGCAAGCTAGTGTTATTTCATTTTCAAAGTTTATTTGTGTTAGCATGTTAGTGTTCTGCACACACCTCACATATTGCATTCGTTAATCCATTCCTGATGTAGTTTTTTAAAGGTGCTTTATGGTTCAAGTTTACAAATATCTTGAGCTAAAGTGAAAGTAAATCTAACAGAGTTTTGCCCACTATCACAAATGGGTCATAGACTCGTAATGATTGTGGAGCTGCATGGTAGCCGACTAGCCGGTGGTTGTAGGCCACGCCACTTGGTTACCAATGGATGTAAATTTTCGGATCTATAGCTTATTTTTCATTGAGTTTTGTAGTCAAGCTCTATTGTTCCCATTTTGCGATACAATAATATAAGGAGAAAAAAGAACATAGGGAACACCCCAAACAAAAAGTTAAGAAAAATTTTAAAGTAAACAATAAATGATTCCAAACACATTTCATAGGGATGAGAATTCATAATTTACAGGAGAAACAACCTTTAAAGCTAATAGTCTTATCTGACATATGGCTATACACTGATTAAGATAAAAAAGAAATTAAATGCTACCGTCCCATTTTGTAATATACACTCCCCTTTTTGGGTGTCCCAAAAATATGAACACTTCCAAAATTGATCTCCACTAACTTTTTTACTCTCCCACTTTATCCCTTTATCCTTCATTTCACACTTCATTTTTCTTAAACCCTGCTCCAATCCCACATGCATCTTAGATTATGGGACAGAGGGAACATATTTAATTGTACTCCACAGTACACTTTCTAGTGCAAAGTGATCTTGCCACTAGTATAGTAGTATCTAATGAGAGTTATACTTTTGCACTTACAGGACTTGCACTAATAGTTTTAGTTGGTCAGAGAAGACTCTTAGTCTGGAGGCATTGACAGATCCTCTTTTAGATGAACTGAGAAGGGTTTATGAAGTTTTGGTGAAAAAAGAGACACACCCAGCTGTTACAAGTTTGGAAAACATATTGAGCAGTGCTAATGGGATATCTATGCGCACCAGTATGATGGAGTTTCTCCGTAATGCAACATTGCTTTGTATGACTGTATTCCCTCAAAATTATGTCCTTGAAGAAGCTGCTCTTGTTGCGGAGGAGGTATCACATACCATGGTGAATTCATCTAGCTGTTCAGTAACCCCTTGTCGAGTGCTTGCAAAGAGTCTACTGAAAAGTAACCGCCAGGTATATATTTTAGTTCTAACCCATTTTATGAACCACTACTGTTCGCATCTTTTGATGAGGAATAAAAGCATGAAACTCATCCAGTTGATGAGGAATAAAAGCATGAAACTCACCCAGTTGATGAGGAATAAAAGCATGAGTTTATTGTTTGAATCCCACTTTTCATGCTTTGACTTTAGCATTATTTCATATTTTATCATTCCTCTAAAAATGATCGCATTTTGTCGTTGACTTTTTAACTGTTGCCACATCTAGTCATATATTTCTCCTACCTTTTACCTGACCATGTAACCGGAAACAATGCTTGTAGTTTCCTTATGATCGTGCCATCCTAACATCTAAGTCCCCATTTGAGAGCCAAATTCTAGTAGACACATTTCTTTTCGGTTTTCTAGCAACATCCGCTTGTGACATTTTATACCATTTTATGAAAAAGTTCATCAATCATATTGTTAGAGGCATGGATGGATGGAGAATGTTAAGAAGGTAAAAGAATTACTTACCCTTGGAAGAGTAGGCCCTTGCCACAGAAGGAATTGTTTATGTTCTTGGCTATCTGAAGAGACACGGAAATTAAATTCAAAAAGATTAATGCCGTTATTAATGAATAAAACCCGTACATTTAAACTAGTCAGTAGCCCCTATAGTCTTGGTGAGCAAGCATTGGAGTCCTAACTATTGTAATATTAATATTAGGAATAATTAATATTTAGAATTCCAATACTAATAGGAAAATATTTTTAATACAAATAGCTGGGAATTAATAATAATATTTCTAATTAATAAATTTATGGACTCTTGTGTGGATCCATGAGCCTGTATCATCACACCCCTCCTGAACTTCATGATAGCGTGACAAGCGTTGTGCCAACACTTCCCACAATCATACGGCATCAATAAAAAATCAACTGTATCTAGTGCACCACAACTCCACAAGAACTACGTTGAGACTTGGAGATCATAAGCCACAATGGCAGTTGTTCCTCCCTTGAGAAAAGTTATACTCCAAGTGTCTAGCCCAATGAACGATTCCATAAGAACTGTATGTGGTCTGTCATTATGTGAACATGCCATTATCAGGCGGAGATTTCACCTCATAGCACTTGGGAAAACTCTCTGATTTTTGGCTTATCCAATAATGAATGTATTTCTCTATCAGGGGTCTTCTATGTTGCAATGATCTATCATCCATGGTTTAGCAGTGGCCAGTGGGAGATTGTGAGATACACATGCAGTGTGCTTACATAGAGAGATAGGCAACAGGTGAAGAGACATCCCCAATTTCACGGTTCCGTAGTAACTTAGCATATTCGCCCTTTGTGATGGTTACAGTGCTTGTTTCTTCATTTGTACCATCACTTTCATTTGAATTTACGGCATAATAGATTTTGGAAGTTTACCATGTAGCTGCAAACAAGTCACGAACATACCCTTTTCTCTGACAAGTGGCAATAGGTACAATATAAACTATAAAGATGAGGTCCTACCACCCCCTTCCTTGAGTGCCTTCTCGAATAGTACCACGACCACCTCTGTTAGATGGTGCCAACTGCCAACACAAAGTTCCCACTTCTTTCACTTCCCAATGCTGTTTTAACTGAGGTATCAATACATATAGTATGTAGCATAGAGCTTTGAATTCTAGCAAATACCTTCACTTAAGAAGGCATCTCTTCATCTGAAAGGTATCTCATAGCACCCATTGCTCCACTGTATCTGCATTTTTAACACATCAGCAGAAACTGGAAGAATAGCATCCGATTCCTTATACAAATAATTAATCTCAGCAAAGTGGTCTTTAGCATGTCTACCATTTTCTTGCATTGAAAAACTCCTCAAACAACTCAAACATTCTAGAATTGTTGCTAGAGTACAAAAGCTTCACATAATCCCAAACTTCCTTGAATGTATTACAATGATGACAGTGAGCTTTTTATGTTAGATTCCATTGGACTCCACAGTACACCAACCAATTGAGCATCAATATATTCCCAAACATCTCTCTCATTCTCATTCTCATAGCTATTTAATCTTTTCTGGACCTTCAAGAAACATCTCAACATCTTTTGGCCAATAAACAAAGTTACTGTCATTCAAATTCCGAATAGTATTCAAAGAAGGACTTGAAATAGTCAAACTGATGAATGGTGCAACAACACTATTAGCTAGCACATTCAAGGGTGGATCAACTCCAACACAAATCAAATACAACTTAACTCCACAAAGAAGACAAACCAAACACGCACTACAATCCAATATATGTGGATTTAGAGGAAGAAAACTTGCAAACCAACTCAATAGAAGCTGAAACTGTCCAGATGTTTAGCTCAAACAAGACCGAAAAAGGTGACTGTGGAAGCAAGTGGCACGTGGATAAAACACGCTGGTGGAGAAGCCGATGTGTGAGACTCAAGCACGGGAAAGTGGCAGCGCTTGAGAGTGCGTGTGGTGTTCGAATGGTGGCTAGTATACTGCAGGAGTGTCAGAATTAGTTGGAGAATCTCCCAGAATGACTGATTTCCTGAGTGCTCCAACGAATAGGTTTGAAATAATTAATGGATGAAATCAAAGGTACAATCTTTTAAGGATCTGCTCCAATACCATGTTATAGTAGGTTACATGACAGAAGACTTTGCAATGGAAGACAAAATGTAGAGAGTATTCTTGGAGACTTGGAGAAACTGTTCTACTTTGAATGGTCACATAACATAGAACATATACTAGGGTACTAGGGTTAACTAATAATAGGGATATACTAAAATGCCTTTATAACTTTCAATATTTACAACTTATTTATAACAAGTACTTCGATGGAAAGTTAAAGGTGTGGTGTAATGATGGACGACTTATTACATTCAATTTCTCTCACATGTTTTTTATGACACCCTGCTTCCTTTTCCACCCAAATTCCCGTATTTAATTTATTTTATTTGATGTGTTTTTCATGTTTTCCTATAGGATATATTGTTATGTGGAGTTTATGCACAGAGAGAGGCAGCATTTGGAAATATTGATCAATCTAGAAAGATATTTGACATGGCGTTATTATCCATTGAAGGACTTCCTGCGGTATGTTTGAGCTCTACTCTTTGACATAATAAACATGGCTTGGTTTTGCTTCCAATGCATTTCTCTTCCTTCCATTCAACTGTAGTCCCAAATTTCGCAACCCTTGGCTGTGTTATTAAAACTTTCTCATGCATCATCTTCTGAAACTCAGATATTAAGCTTTATTTTACTATTCAGTAGCATTTGTTTACAGCACACACTGTTTCTCACCCTTGGCTTTATGTCCCTGAAATTGTAAAACCAGCTTCATTTTGTACAATAGTTTAGGACTCCTTTTATATTTTTGTTCCAACACCTTGCAATATAACCGACCAGGGGATGTTCTTTTATTGCTCCTCAGTCCTCATTGGCATTATAACCAAGTTTCTAAAAACCAGATATTAACTTATTTGGTGACTTGGTTGATGATGTAAACCAACTTCACTTTGCACAATGTTTTAGGGCCTCCTTGTTTGTTTTTTGCCTATACCAAGCACTATTGCCGACATTTTGGGGATAATTTATTTCTTCTCATCGGCCTTATGATTGATTTTAAAAAACCAAATGATAACTTGTTTGTTAAATTGGTCAATGTGAAAAAATAATACTACATACTATTTTTTATTGCAGTTGCGGTAATGAAAATAAACGACAACTCTGCCTTCTATCTACATTCTTTAATTTGATCAGAAACATATTGTAAATGTGTTCTCTTTTCTAAGAGGACCCTCTATTCAGATATCACTATTGAGTGACAAGTCTTTGTCATATGCATTTTCTCCATATACATTTTCTTGAGTTATATATTCTTTTAGATGATTCCCATTTGTGTTTCCCCCCTGACAGGATAGTAGGAGCAATGAGTCTCTGTTATACCTTTGGTATGCAGAAGTGGAGCTTGCAGATGGTTCTGATGGTGGCTCAGAATCATTTTCCCGTGCTTTACACATTTTATCTTGCCTGGGAAGTGGTATGAAATATGCTCCATACAAATGTCAGCCATCAAGCTTGCTCCAGCTAAGAGCACGCCATGGATTTAGAGAGAGACTAAATTTGCTATATTCGACCTGGAGATGTGGTGTGATAGACGACCAGTCAGTTGCCCTTGTATGTTGTGCTGCTTTGTTTGAAGAAATAAGTACTGGAGGGACAGCCAGTATTGAAATTTTTGACCAAGCATTTTCAATGGTTCTTCCTGGTAATCAACTTTCTATTTAAATATATTTGTAACCTCAACTTTGTATTCCATATATTTATGACCTTTTATCAATAGATCATAGACCCTGTCATGTCCGAGTGTTTTTTATGTTGTTTTATAATAGTTCCTTTTCCAAGCATCATAAGCTAACTTCTAATTATGTCTTCTTTTTATTCTTCAATACTGGAGTGGTGAGGACTTCTGCAACCCCCTCATTATATTGTTACATAGCAGTATCTAATCTTACATGTGGCAGAGCAGTATCCTCTGCGGCTCTGCCTGAAAGAAAATATCCACAAACTCATCACTTAGGTCAAGTTAGTGGACAAACTCATCTAGTAAAAAGTAAGACAAACTAGCAAAGCACAAAACAGGGAGGGCTCTTCCCTTGCAAGTTGCAACCTAACCTTTCTAGTGAAAATGGAAGAGAGAGAAACCCCAAAAAGGTTGTGTCCGGTCCAACTCTAAGCCCGTGTTCAGTTTAGAAGATGAGAGGGGATGAAGGAGAGATTGCCGGGATGAAGCTAATTAAAAAAATGAATATGCTAACTGAAAGATTGGGGATGAATTAGTATTTTGGAAAATATTCAAAAAATATATTTGATACATCTATACTCCACTTAATTTTTTTTAATGTTTATATATAACTTTAACTGTCCCATATTAATTTGGTTGGAGTATATACCATTAGTGTGAGCGGCGTGATCTGATTTAGTGTAAGCCTCACATTGGTGATTTGGCCCAATTGATGTCAGAGCTGAGATTTTTTTTGGCTTGTTTGTTTGATGTCCCTTGGTTTGGGGCAGCCATTTTGGGTCCATCCTAACTTCCCTTACAATACACGCAACTCCTCCACTTTCCTCATCTTCTCTTCAACCCTCCCCCACCTCCCCACAAATTGAAGGTAAAAAGAAGGAATGGAACTATTTATGACAACACTTTGCTTCAATAGAGTAATTTCCCAGCCGTTCTTTTTTCAGTTTTTTGTGTTACCATTTACCAATAATGCACATCATGATTTTATCTTAGTCACAGCCCATCTTATGCTTTTGAGGGTGCAGGACAAGCAAACGAGTAGTGTTCCTTTTGTTATTTTCCATTAAAAGTTTCTTTATGCACTGATGATTTTTTCTACATTATGACTATAAATGTATTTCTTCAGAAAGAAGAAGGAACAGTCATCATCTCGAGTCTTTGTTCAACTATTATCTGAACATGCTTTCTAAACATCACAGACAAGTAAAGCTATCGAAAGTGTGGCAGTCTATTGTGGATGGGCTGCAAATATATCCTTTCAGTACAAAACTGTACGGTGCATTAGTTGAAATCAGTCATCTTTACTGTTCGCCGAATAAGCTAAGGGTGATATTCGACCAATACTTCAAAAGGCATGTCCGTATGCAGTATGCTCTATGTGCAAATAATGGATTATTTCATAAGTCATGTTTCTGTGCATGCAATGTTTCGTTTGGTTTTTGCCCAAATTTATAGATCTTTAATTATTTATCGATTATTACAGTTTTAAAACATTCAGTTTTCTTACACTTATAGTTCACCTTCGGATAAATGTCTCTTTTTAGTCTGCTATCTGGCTCTCTTTTCTGTAGCGTAATTACTACTGTAATGTAGGAGAATTGGGTTTTCTGTTTCTCTTTGGTAGAATGTTTAAAAATTTGTAACTACAGCACTGAAATCCCAAGTGATCTTTGGTCAATTTAATCTTTTCATTTATGATAACTTCATTCTTAGACTACAGGTCTACAGCTTTCCTGTTTGTGAAAAGCCATCTATTAAAACATGTTCCTAATGTGGTAGTATTCACCTGTTAATGTTGATATTGCTTATTAAAAATATGTTCCTAATGGTGTAGTATACATTGATGATTGTTTGTAGTACGGAGTATCTATTATGATATAGTATCTGAATATTGTGCATGTTGATCCGAATGTGATGCATGCTAGTTCTTTTTTTAATTCTAGCGGCGGTAAATATGGGAAGTTGTTAATTCTTCCTATTTATTTGCATGTGTTTTATTGTTATTAAATCATGCGGCCATGTATGTCATACTAAGTTTGGTCATAGTTTAGGAAAAGTCATGAGTTTTACTAATATTGAGGTATTTTTCCCTTTCAAGAAAGGCATGGCTGTCTATTTTCTTAGGGTAGGTGTAGATCAATCTCGCGGTTACTTACTCTTGTTATGGATATTTTCTGTTCAAAACATCCAGGAGTCCATCAGTCATTAATTGGCTCTTCGCGTTGTCGTTTGAGATGAGTAGAGGTGACTCTCAGCATAGAATACGCAGTTTTTTTGAGAAAGTATTGGAGGATGAGAAACTATGCAACTCGGTGATAATCTGGCGCAGCTACATCGCATATGAACTTGATGTGACATGCAACACATCAGCTGCAAGAAGAGTATTCTTTCGAGCAGTTCATGCATGCCCATGGTGAGTTCTTCTTCTTTAATGATGCGACAAATCACACTGTTTCTCCTTTCAAGCAACCCTGAAATCATGTATAAAAATAAAAATGTCTGTTTACCCGTCTTGTCCAAAGATCTCCACAAAAAGTAGAGTTATGCTATAAAAAAGGTAGAATTATGCTCGATGCACAAATTTTTCGTACAAAACTTGTACAACCTACACGCTGACCAGATTATTTGCATTTTGTCTTTATCGTGAGAAAAGGAAACACTTCCACTATGAAGTTTTTTTTTGTCTTTTGTGGGTGAAAAACGTTGCCAATACAAAGGTGAATCTTTTTTGGTTTGATCCATAAATAAGTTAAACCAATCATGTGAATCATTTAACCACAAAGAACCTTGTAGTACTTTAATGTCTTTTTGTTATCTTCCTGAAACTGGGATTAAATACATATGCTTTTGTGTAGGTCAAAAAGGTTATGGCTTGATGGTTTCCTCAAGCTAAATACCATACTAACTGCAAAGGAGCTCTCAGATCTTCAGGAAGTAATGCGAGATAAAGAGCTGAATTTGAGGACAGATATTTATGAAATTCTTCTTCAAGATGAGATGCAGTGCTGATATCACGTTGATCTTTTGGCCCCTTGTAACTCCTGCCTGTGTGCCTTCTCCTCCGCTCTTACACAACTGATTCATTCCTGGCTCGCACGAATTGTGAATCTGTGATCACTTCCCATTTGGCGTAGAATTAAGGGAATTTGAAAGTAATATACTAGGAATACAGAAGATACTATGTGCGCGGACTTTGTTTAACATACCAAATTTTCTCCATCAGTTACGGACTTGCGGTTGTCAATGGGCACTGCTACATCTACCCAGTTGAGTTTAGACAAAGCCCCTGCCGGTGGTGGTTCGAGTAATGCTCCAAGTTCTGAGTTGAATGTGCCTGGATTTTTCTCATCATTCTTGATGAGCTGCGTTTGTACTTGAGTTGCAAAAATGATGCCCATTATTTTCTCATCGCCCTTGATTAGTTGCGGTGTGCTGTTGTACCACCTGTAGTGGCACAATTTCTCCTTCCACCATTGCTTTCCCAGTGGTTACTATATTAGTCTAGAGAAGCAGAACAGGGTATTGATAATATTTTTACGGTAAAGCCCTCCCCCCCACCCACCCACCCACCCGTGGCATTGAATGAATCCTCCCCCAATTTGGATTGCATGGAACTCAACGGAGGGTTAGTTATGGTACTCATAGACATGATGGACAAGAATCGATTACTCTCAAGTATTTGCCTTTCTCCGGTTTAAGATGTACATAGTGTTCAGTAATTTGGAGTGTTAAATATCCTAAAGATGCATCATGAGATTAAACCCGAAATTGCCATTCATAAATCATAAGTAGGATTGGACAGATCGCTTGTCTAAACCAGTTACCCAGATAATCGACAAAGCTAAAAAAGGTTAACATTCATGTTTCTGAAGTAGTTGAGAGAAGCATTATCTTGACCATCTCTAGTAGTATGGCTTGACGAGTATCTAGCAGAAAATAAAAAAGAATGGAAGATACTCATTAAGTCATTATGAGTCATGAAGTCATTACAAAGGGTACGTTTTCTGAGTGGTTTCAAACTTCATGTTTCCCATTGTTGGTTTCTTTCAAATTTGTGTCTTTTAAATTAGTATTGCGATTCATATACTATCATAATGTTGTCTGTAACGGACCTTGCAGGAAGAAAAAAAAAGATTAATATGACAATAATATGGTTATTCAAATGATCAAATCACTGATTAAGCTCATCTAGAGTCTAGACATCTAGTGAGCATTGGATGTTAAAGTAACACTCTGCAATAAATATAAACAAAATGAACATTAACAAAATGAACATTATCATCGTACATAATAATCATTCAAGTAAAAAGTAATGCTAAAAAATCAGAACTTTATCTTGATCACTTTGTTATTTTTTAGAAATAAGTCTAAATATATAATTAAAATAAAAGTAGTGGACAAAAGTGTCACTAGTCATGGACCGGTTCCGGGCCGGTCCCAAACCGGGCTTTTTTATATTGGGTGAAGGCCTGGAACCAGCCCGTGTTTCCACCGGGTCCAGATAGGGCCGGACCGGTCTCGGGCTGGTCTCGGGTCGGTTTATATAGGCCTGTCAATGGGTTGGGTCTAGACCCAGATCCGATTCGAATCCGACACTGTATTTGAGGGATGGGTCTAAATTTAGAACCGTTTCCCGGATCCGGATCCGGATCCGAACCCGTTACATGAGAGAGAAAAATGGGTAGGATATGGATTTTTAAATTTTGGCCCGTTTTGGACCCGACCCGTGGCGATATAATTATAGTTATAATTTTACACACACACAATGTACATAGATATATTTAAGGGGAAAATAATTAAAATACCCCAAACTTTGAAGGGGTGTGAGATTAATACCCCAAATTTGCATATGTAATTTAAATATCCCAAATTTTATATAAAGATTTATTATAGTACCATAGTCAACTATTATTTCTTTCAAAAGTGTAAAGTTTACGTTATTAATTGCATGATTTAAAATATTTTGGAATTCATGAAGACACAATTAACATTTTAAGCTTGCATTAGGAAATAAATAATGTTACCCCCAATCTATATAATTGCAAAACTTTTAATTTTCTATTTTAAATTATGCAATTAACTCCATAAACTTACATTTTTTAAACAAATAATGTATTAAAAAGGTGCAAGAATAACTTTTTATTTAAAGTTTAGGGTATTTAAATTACATATGCAAGTTCGAGGTATTTACCTCACAACCCTTCAAAGTTTTGGGTATTTTTTATTATTTTCCCCTATATTTAAACACAAGATAAGGGAAATAATCAAATATAAAAAAGTTTTAATAATTGTAGGCTTAGTTAGTGGTTTGCCCACTATAACGGGGTTTTCCCTAATGAGTTTGAGTCCCGCTTCGTGTACAAGCCGGGTTACACGCCAGTCAAATTATCTGTGTACAGACAATTTGACCGGCTACACAGACAATTTGACCGACGATTTATGAAGAAAATCGATTTCCACACAGATAAAAAGTAAAGAGTTGTCTGTATCACAAACATTTGACAGGATTTTTTCATAAAATGTCTGTGATACAGACAATTTTTTTTATTTTTGCCTGTGTGAAAATAAGTTTTTTTTTTCATAAAATGCTAGTCAAATTGTTTGTGTAGCCGGTCAAATTGTCTGTACACAGACAATTTGACCGGCATGTAACCTAGCTTGTAAACCTTAGCGTGTACAAAAGGAATTTTCCAATAAGTATAGGGCTCTAGCTAGGTCCTCTTGATATTAATCCCTTTCTTGTTTCGGAATTTTGTTTCTATTAAGTTTGAGGATGTATAGACTAATGGATAGAACACTGGTTTTCTTATTTATATATGATCTCTTCCAATATGAACATAAATTTTGCTATGTACAATATTTGTCTGCACATGTCAATTAGTTTTTTTTTGCGGGTATACCCGGCCCGGATCCGAGACCCGCCGAACCCAAATCTGGAACATATATTTAGGACCCGAAGGGTTAATGGGTCCGGATATGGACCAAAAATTACTCAACGGATATGGATATGAAATTCATAGTTCCGGCCCGTATCCGACCCGTTGACAGGCCCAGGTTTATATATACACACACACACACACACACACACACACACACACACACACACACATATACAGGGAGTGTTCCGGTAAGAACAGATCTTAGGAGAAAAATGAGAACGAATCTGGATCGTTGGATTGTATTATGTGGAACCAAATTGTGCATTTGGTGAAACTGAAATGTGCATTAAATGATATTGAAATGTGCAAAATAAAAATTTAAACTCAAGTGTGCATTAGATGAAACTGATATGTGCGAATAAAAAGTACAAAAACAACATCACATCGTACTTTTTATTCTGCACATTTCAGCTTCCCCTAGTGCACATTTCAATTTCATGTAATGCACAATTCAACTGCACATAATGTCACTCTATCGTACCCTTTGTGATGCACATTTCAATTTCACCTAATGCACATTACAGTTTCATCTAATGCGCATTGAATTTCACTTGAAGCAAATCTAACGGTCTAGATTCGTTCTCATTTCTCTCATAAGATCGTGTTCTTATTTGAACCAAAACACACACACACACACACACACACACACATATATAGATTTTGGTTCAGGTGAGAAATGCATCTAATGTGAGAAATGAGAATGAATCTCAGCCATTGGATTTACGAAGTTGCACTAAAATTGGCTTTATGTTGCAGTAATATTTAAATTTTGCACATGTTGCACTAAAACTGTTTCATGTTGCACTAATATTTGACGGCGTTGCACCGAAATAGCTTCATGTTGCACTAGACACGTGTAATACGGATTTTTCAGAAGTATTTACAGAAATGTCACCGTGCTAGATTGCATATTTCAGTGCATCATGAAGTGTCTTTTACTGCAACTTAGTCGAATCCAATGGCTGAGATTCATTCTCATTTCTCACCCAAAGGGTTCTTCTCACTTGAACCTTACCCTATATATATATATATATATATATATATATATAGGGATGAGTACAAATGAGAAGACATCTTAACGTGTAAAACATATACTCCGTATTAATCTCAGTCGTCTGAGACATCTTAAGTGTCGATCTGATGCACAATAATCCCTATCTGATGCAATTTCAAATAGACCTTATTTGTATATATTTTGCTTTTCTGATTAATCCCCCCACCCCCCAAAACCCTCCAAAACACCCAGCCCAACCCGGGAAAAACAAGAAAAAATGAAAAACAAAAAAAGGCCCGAACCAGGCCCAGCGGGGCCGATTCCAAAGGATGGGGTGACCTGTACCCGGCCTGCCCTAACACCCCGGGCTAGTCTTAGGCCCGGAACCGGCCAGTTCACGGGCCGGTCAGACCGGACCCGGGCCAAGACTAAGTGTGACCGTAGTAACTTATAGCCACGTTTTTGTTCATACATTAATATTTTGGAAAAAACTTAGCCTCCATAAACTGCCATACAATAAAGTACGTAGATTCCCACAAATAAAAAGTTCTAAAATTCAATTATAAAAGCATATAATGTACACATACTCAATTCAACCCTTTATATAGTAGTGCTCTATGTTCCATAACGGTTCTTGCTATTTCTCTCTCCTTTGTACGGATCTCAATCACATACTTTTTACTTTATTATTATTATTATTTGTGCTAATCAAACTTGGCAGAATTTTGAGAAACGGAAGGAGTATAATATGCAAACTACAAAGCATTTAATACTATTAGGTTTCTATAATATTGATACCTATTAGATGTGTTGCTACTTGCTATTTGCTAATAGCTACTCCGTATAATTGTTATACTGATAATAATTAGTTACATATGGTAGATTGGTAGAACGGTTCTAATTAATAAGCTAATCAATTAAATACCAATAAGCAGATTTGGTTAAAGTTTTTTTTTTTTTAAAATCTAGATTTGGTTAAAGTTAGATGTGGTAATTTAATTTGGTCGTAATAGTATAAGTAATTAGAAACGGAACTAACGTGGTTAAACTACATAGATGTGGTAAAACCTTATCTAATATCAAATAAAAAATTAAAAAATAATTTATAATTATATCTAGTATGCGACATGATGTGTAAAATATTTAAGAATTGAGAAATGTTTGACAATACCTTATAAAATCTAAAAACATGCATACGTTTTCTAGTCGTTATTAGGAAAATAATGCATATAGATTAGAATTTTCAGACAATCATGTTTGTGGTGGTATATATTTTTCGTTTTCTTTCAACTCTCTTTTTCTACAATAATTCTTTTAAATATTGCATGACATGTAACTCTCTTATAAGATAATACTCCGTATACTATAATATGTGCATGTATGATGTATTAAACACTTCTCTATTGCCCTCGAACTTACATTAAAAGGTCAAATAAGCTCTTATATAGGAGGCTCTGTCCGGCCATCATAATTTGGGGCAATTCTCGGTGGAATTTTTTGAGCATCTTATTCATTAAGTCTAGTTTACTCATACCAAATTTCATCTAACAATTCAATGTGGAAGGCATTCAAATGAACTCTTGAAGATAACTGTGCATTTAAAAGCGCAGTTATTTTCAAGAATGTATTTGAATGCCTTCCCGATTGAATTGTTAGCAGAAATTTGGTATGAGTAACTAGACTTAATGAATAAGATGCTAAAAATATTTCATCAAAAAATTCAACTAGAAACTGCTCCGAATGGCGACGGACGGACAGAG